CTGGAACCAATGCAAATGCCCATCAATGAGAGACTGGATAAAGAAAATGCAGCACATATACACCATGGAATACTATGCAGCCATAAAGAATGATGGTGGAAATCATCATTCTCAGCAAACTGACATAAGAACAGAAAACCAAACACTGCATGTTCTCACTCATAGGCTGGTGTTGAACAATAAGAACACATGGCCACAGGGAGGGGAGCATCACACACTGGGGTCTGTGGGGGGTAGGGGGGTAGGGGAGGGACAGCAGGTGGTGGGGAGGTTGGAGAGGGATAACATTGGGAGAAATGACTGATGTAGGTGATGGGAAGATGGAGGCAGCGAACCACCATGGCCTGTGTGTACCTATGCAACAATCCTGCAAGATCTGCACATGTACCCTAGAACTTAAAGAACAAATTTTTTTAAATGCTAATACTAGGTTCTACTCCTGGAGATTCCAACTTCATTGGTGTGATGTGGGACTCTCCAACAAATTATAATGTGAAGTCAAGGCTAAGAACTACTGTTGTGACCCTCCAACTTTAGAAGGCATGCAAATTATGAGCAGCTCCTGTTATGATAAAAATCTTGGCTCTAGGGTGGGGATTGAGATTCCGCATTTCTAGCACACATCTCCATGATGCCTGTGCTGCTAGTCTGGGGAACCTGGTTTGAGCAGCAAGATTTTATATCGTTAACTACTATTAGCAGCAAGGTATTAGTCATAAACTCATCACAGCTGCTCTTGCCCAAGTTATGGCAATGCCAGGCAGGTCTAAGGACTTACTAGTGAGCCTACCTTGCCAATGGGGTAACCAAGTTGCAAGTTGAAAGAGAAGTCACTTCTAACACTTCTGATACCAAATGCATGGGTGGGTTTGGGTTTCACACCAAGCGATTCTCCAATTCTTTGTGGACACTCACCAGCGTTCTACAATTTAACTCAATTTTCACACTAACCACTCAGTGGTAGTGTAGACTCCACAGGTTAAATGCTCAGCCCCACAAGACTGCCTTCTACTTCAGACACCAATTACAAGTAGTAGGTTCCCAGGTTACCCACAGCTCCTGTCCAACTTGGCTGCAAGTTGGAGCCTCTCATGACCTCCTCCTCAATTGGAATCATTTGCTATAATGGCTCACAGAACCCAGGAGGACACTTTGCTTGCTATTACTGGTTTATGATAAAGGATATAAGTGAACAGCCAGTGAAGAGGTACACAACGTGAGGTCCAGAAGAGTCCCAAGCATAGGAGCCTCTGTCTCGATGGAATTGGGATGCATCACACTCCTGGTACACGGATGCATTCACCAACCCAGAAACCCTCCAAACTTCATTGTTTAGGGGTTTTATGGAGGTTCCATTATGTGGATGTGATTGATTAAATCACTGGCTATTGGCTATCAGTTCAATCTCCAGCCTCTTCACCTCCCTGGAGGGAAGGGATACTGAAAGTTCCAATCTTCTAATCATGCCTTGGTCTTTCTAATGACCATCCTCCATCCTCAAGTTATCTAGAGACCCTCAGCCTCCAGTCTTCTCATTAGCATAAACTCAGGTGTGTTTGAAAGGAGCTTATTGTGAATAACAAAACATGTTCCCCTCACCCCAACACTCATCAAATTACAAGGGTTTTCGACACTCTGTGTGAGGAAACAGGACTAAGACCAAATATGTATGCCTTATTGTATCATATCACATAAATCCTTTCCCCTCTACAGTTTATCTGGTCTAGTGGTACTTGAAATCCCTGTACCAGAAGCATCAATGTCTCCTAGAAGCTAATGAGAAATGCAACTTCTTGGATCTCACCCCAGACCTAAAAAATTAGACACTCTGGAGGTAGGCCCCCACAATCTGTTTTACCATCTAGGGGAAGCTGATACATGCTCAAATTTCAAATCAAGTGACCCAGTCTGTCTATTTGGGGTTCTTCCTTGCTCCCCTTTTCATCCTTCTAACCAACTATTCTAAATCAGTGATCCTACTTGATTGCCTGTTAGAATTTCTTAGGGAAACTTTATAACATGCCTATGCCCCTCCCAGAATCTCTGGGAGTTGGGCCTCATTATGAAAACACTGTTGCAAAAGCTCCCCCAGGTGATTCTATTGATGCTGGAACTTTTTTCAAATGATCCCCAGAAGATCCTTTGATATGGAATCTTTTCCTTTGGCCAGTCTGTTTCTGAAATCTATCCACAAACACATTTTGCAGATTATCCAATGCCTCTCTCATCCCATGTTGTTCACTGACTTCTAAATCCCCTTTTTCAGTGCTTTGGGTGAATATTATATCTCAATTCCTTCCGCCTTATTTCCTTAATCTAAGATTGCTATATCCTAGTAAGTAGAGTTTCTGTATACAAATGCCTTGGCTGATTTCATGAAGGCCACATCCCATTAGATTTTACTTTGCATTCTCTATGAAGCCTCTTCTGTTCCTTCCTAATACATGCATCTTCCAAAAGTCCCACTGAGCCATCTTTCTCCATTTGCCATCACATTGCACTGCTTAATATTTTTTATTTATTTAAATGTTTGTCTTTCCTTTCTAGACTATAAGCCATTAGGGTGAAGGTAGATGTCTTTCCTAGATCCAGATTTTCAGCTTATTTAGAACATTTTGAATACTGTACCTTCCAAAGGTTTGTGGAATAGAAGATCAATATCCAGTGCTAACTGTCCCCACAATTATCATCAAATTGCTAGCCTTCAGACACAGTGCCTTAATTTCTGCACTGCTCTTCTTGAGTCAAATTATCTAGTATGTATCTCCAGCCTATTCCCTTGGTCCAGAGAATGAGCTTCAATTTTGGTCCTGTATCCCTCTCCAAGAACTCTCTGCATCCTCAAAACACCATGGTTGGTTATGAGTTATGAGAAGAGACTGATTCTGGAGGTACATTCAGCAGTTATACTCCTTTGTTAAACATTTCATGTGCACATACTGTTTTCAATCAACAAGCAGATAAGTCTTTAACTCTAGGTTTTAAAAAAAATCATAGAGTTACCGTATTTTCTCTCTCCTTCCGCAAAAGAGTTCATTATGCATATTTCCACTACTATGATCTATACTCATCAATCAGATTGTTAGATCTGAGAACTTAGGAGAGTATTTCTGTTTATTTTGACATGTAGAAATTCTGTTGAATCCAACCTGAAGAATTTCTCAAATATATCCTATTTTGTTTAACTGATCATCTGCTTCTCAAAATATTATTTCTTGCAATTATGCCATTGGTCGGAGAGAGGGCTATCTTTCTAGTTACTGGGATAGGACTAGAATCAGTTCTTTTTTTCTCTAAGTAATGTGGTCTTTGCACAGCCTAGTAACCCACGGGTAAAACAGACAAGACTTAAGGCCACTACTGGCCAGACCTCCTAGTGGTGCTTACAGGCTCCCAGTGAAATAGGCTCTACCTTGAAAAGCCAGGGGAAGCATTGATGGGTCTCAGCAAGTACAAAGGTGTCAGGACAAGCCTCTCTGAGACAGCTAGACTTGATCCCAACCCACAGTGAAGGTGGCCAGGTATTCAGAAATTGGACTGACCAGGCACAAAGAAAAAAACAAAAACACAAACAAATAAACAAAAATAACTTTTCCAAATAAGCAGCCAAAAGTCAATCCCTTTATTTTATTTTAAGTGTAGCATTGTCTAAACTCAAAGTGCTCTGCTAAATCGTGTCAACTAGCTTTCTAAGATCTGCAGCCTTAAATTACCTTAAGGACAAAGTCGGGTGTCCAAAGAAAGTCTCATGACAAACTGGGTTTTGCTTTGGGGTGGGAAGGGGCCCAGATATGAGGCTGTCTTGGGTATACCCTGCCAAATCAAATATCTCTTCATCCTTCATGGTGATGAGACTGGTGATCCACATAATTAATACAAGCTCACACAGAAGTAAACATGAAATGATTGAACAGGAAGCCTTTAACCAGGCAGCAGGCAGTGGGAGGGGGAGAATTAATGGATAACAGAGTCTTAGAAACACAGGCGAGTAGTACATGGTATTTTTAAATGAAACTTTGTTCCTGGTCTAAAATCAAATGAGTTTTAAAACTTTTCTCTCCACAGCATCCTGAACAAAGTGGTTTGGAGCAAGTGTTATGCCCAAAATATTTATACTCTGGCAGTTACAGCATAGTATATGTGATAATTATATTCCATATATGAAATAGCAAATTCAAAAAGAACAGGTAAGAAAAATCGTTGTTGAATAATTTGTACTCCTTAAAGACTAAATTTGGAGGAACAGCAGATAGCTTGAGAGCCCAGTATGTTTGGCCTTTAAACAGTAGATCTGTTGTGGTGGGCAGAGGGAGTGAGGGTGGGGTCTTTATTTATGAGTTGAATAGGAACTGCTGGGAATATGTCATCTCATTTAACAGTAAATACATCTTATTTGAACTCTCTGATATCATGCATTTTTTTTCTTGTAGAACACAAAGGGTTAACATATGGGCCCTATTCAGCAAGTGAAGTTCAAGATATGCAGGTCCCATTTCCAACAGAGAAATGGCACAAAGAGAGGAGAAAACACACTAACTGCAGAATCTCTTGATTAAAGCCTCCTTGTCAGAGATTTTTAAATAAGGCTTATATGACCCACACTGCCAGAGGAGAATTCAGTATTTTTTACCTTTCACACTGTCTTCCCAAGGAGGGGAGGAGCCCAGCCAGAAAGCACTGCAATCATGGGCAAGTTCCCAGCTGAGTCAACTTGTGAGTGGATAATCAGGAAAAAGGATGAATCTAAAAGACAAAAATCAAAGAACCGATGGGGTCTGTGACTGGATTTTCTATCATTCCAATTCTAAATCCCACTTGAATATTCCTGGACTTACAAAATGTCAAGGGGGTGACTGGAAGTTGTGGATATCAGGGTATAAATTATATCCGTGAGTTGGGGAGGGAAGACCAGACCAGAATTCCCTTGAATTGTGTATTGTTGCAATATAAGCGTAAAAGATCGCCTTGTATTCATTTACCTTCTAAAAGCCATTATTACGATGTTAGAAGAAAAGGAAGAAGTTCGGGTACAGAAAACATGTTTAAATAGCCTAAATGATGGTGCTTGGTGAGACTTGGTTCTACAGGTACCAAACGAGGATGCCAAAGTTTTCAAACTGCTGCATACTTTGACAAGGAAAATCTATATTTGTCTTCCGATCTACACTTATGACCTGAGTCAGGTGATGCACCTGGTTTACTTTAGCATTTTTATGCAGACAGTCTGTTATGCACTGTGGTTTCAGATATGCAATAATCTGTACAATGGTTTTATTCCCAAGTATGCCTTAAGCGGAACAAATGTTTTTCTCTATAGTTCCTTGCCTTAATGAATATGTAATATAAATTAAAAATAAAAATAAAATGAGGCTTGCTTGCTTTTTGAATGTTTCAATTAGGAATTAAGCTAAAAGGAAAAATAAAAATCTGCCCTGCAGTTTTCTGCATCAGGAAAATAAGTTGTGATAGGATGTCACTTTTGACCCTTTCTCAAATGATCTGTGGTTACCAGGGACCACAGTTTGGGTTTCATTAGCAGTAAGTCTAGAACGTCTAAGTTCAGGACCTCCCTACAGAGCTCAACTGTGGGCAGTGGGACACGTAGGGACTACCATCACCAGCATAACAGCCAGCTCAGAAGTCTTTTCCTGCCCTAGAAAGGAAGAATCACACCTTTGGCAGAGGCTTGAAGGCAGGATGACTAATACTGTATTTATAGGAACCCCAAAAGAAACACCCCAAACCCTTTAGCTGTTGCCTGTTCATTGTCTGCTGAAACGCCTATTGCACCTTTTTTTTTTTTTAAGTCAAGGAAGACCCAGTATGTAAAGAGGAGGCAGCCGGTAATTTTGCTACTGTTATAAAACACAGCCTTTGATGGAAGCATCGAATGGTATCCCCACTTGTACAGGTAAGGAAACAAGAACTAGAGGAGGTTGACTTTCTTCCTTGTCTATTACCACATTGAGTAAGTGGCAGAATCAGTTGAACTCAGGCAGTTTATTGTCAGGTATATGTTCTCTGCCCTTCCCTACCTTGTCATGAGGGTAGTATCAGTCATACAGTGTAAACTGCCCTCCACCAGGAATACAGAAACATACCACAGCCAATGGAAAATCAGGAAGATGAAGAAAAAGGGACTAGCGATTCCCAGCTAAAATTGTAAACATGGCAACAGCGTAAACACTGCATCTAGAGGAATACAGAACTTGTACTTCACTTTTTTCCTGAAATTTCAATCCTTTCCAGTGAATCTGGATTTTTTAAATCAAATATTAGTAAGGGTGTATCCTGGAGCCAGTTGAACCAAATTGATGTTTTCCTTCAAGATTCTAATGCACTTGCTGCAAATACTGGTGATGAACCCTTACGTGGGGCCTGAATAGAGCCTGAACCCCTTGGATTTAATGCTGATGGGAGGCCTGATGTCCCTTACTCTGCATCCTTCAAGTAACACTGATAAAGAAAACAGCCTAAGGGGAAATCCTACCAACATAACTCCAATTTTTTGGTTTTTTGCTTTCCTGAAGACTTTCAACTTAGGATGTTAGATCTATTTTCCACAGACAAGTGCTTGTGTTTTCACATTCTCATTACATGGGAAAAGTGCAAAAAGGAGCAGAAAGTTACCATGATAAAATAAGAAAAGCAAAGTGTAAATTTTGAAAACTCGATGGAATATTTCTGGATGGCTTGCATTTTCAAAGCTCATTATTTAAGCTCCAAAATTAAGTAAATTTTTTGTGGACTAAATAATTTTATAACCATAAAAACAGTTTTAGAACTGTTTCAAAGGCTTCACAAGTTTGACCAAACTTCTTAAAACCATTCTGTCATGCAAAGGGCAGTGCAAAAGAATAGAGGAACAAAGTGTGCATCAAATGTTTCATTAAATAAGTGCAATTGGCAAAACTTTTAATCCACCTCACAGCGCTAGGCACACCCTCCACACACAGATGATAAATAGAAACAACGTGGTGAGGCTTTGGTCATGCAGCACATCTGTTCACTCAGTTGGGTCATGTTTTAGATTTGGGCATAATGAGATTTGATTGTCTTTACGTACAGTGACAGCAATGTAATGAATGTTGTTTGAACTCTGAATTGTATAAATACGTAGACATGTTGATTTGAGAAGAGAAAACAAAGCATGTGAAAATTGGCAAAATACCCATTTCAAGAATTACGGATTCTCTTCTAAAGAGAGAGAGAGAGAGAGAGAGAGAGAGAGAAAGAAAGAAAGAAAGAAAGAAAGAAAGAAAGAAAGAAAGAAAGAAAGAAAGAAAGAAGAAAGAAAGAAGAAAGAAAGAAGAAGAAAGAAAGAAAGAAAGAAAGAAAGAAAAGACTAGCATGCAAATGGCAGCCCACCCACAATGTGCAACTAAAATCTGAACAACATGAACAGAATAAAAGGTTCTCCAGTCAGTATAATTCCTAAAAGTATTAACTTTAAAAAAACTCTTCATTTAATCCAATGACTTTAATATTTCACTGAAATACAGACTCCTTTTGTGTAATAGTGGAAACCCTCTCACATATATGAAATGAATTGAGATAATTAGAAAAGGCCAATAATAATGATAGTTGCTAGTATTGATGGGGCACTTTCTATGGGTGAAACAGAAGTATTATACATGTTATCTTATGCAATCCTATCATCAAACCTATAAAATAAATATTAAATGAAACATACACATTTATCAAATAAAGAAAGGCTAAGACGCTAAATACATTGCATAAAGTCACAGAGCAAGATTCAAACTCAGGCCCATCTTAGTCTAAGACGTGGCTTTTCACTACAATATGTGGACATTTAATAACTCTTTTTTCCTTCATAGGTATAATTAGATTGGAGTGAATGAAATTCGTTACAACAAAAGAGAAACACATAACCTCAAAATAAGGACTCAACTTCCAGAAAAAAAAAAATTTGACGACAAAATCTTCCCTGGAAACAAATAGGCAACTAAATTGGGCAAATGTGCACTCAACTTGAAAGAAACACAAAAAGGAAAATGTCCAATAATAATTCAAAATAAATCTGTCTTAAGCAATGAAGAAGTCATGAATAGAGTAATCTGAGTGTTTTCTCTCTGTAGAAGTAAAATGTCTACGTGGCACCAAAAAGAGCCTAATTAAATATGGGGAATGTTCTTTGCCTCCATTTTTCTCTGATAATCCTGGTTACCAATGATTATTCTTTCAAGCTTTGCTTTTCTACTTCACTTAATACCTGAATGACTTGTAGACCACTTCGCTTTGTATTGTTAATTTCCTTTTATATGTTTAGGTATCTACAATGAGATTTAAGCTCCTCAAAGAAGGCAAGAATATGTTGCACTTTTTTGTATGCCCATATGCCCTGCACATAATGTGCTCAACCAATTGTTGGTTTAATTCAGGCTGAGACTTCTGCCACTAAGATTACCTAGACACCAAATTTGACTAAATGGCAGCATGGTGGCTGCAGTTACCTTAGCAACCTTTGGCAGCTTTTGCAATGCAATCTATTTTTTTTTTTTTTTGAGATGGAGTTTTGCTCTTGTTACCCAGGCTGGAGTGCGGTGGCATGATCTCAGCTCACCGCAACCTCTGCCTCCTGGGTTCAGGTGATTCTCCAGCCTCAGCCTCCTGAGTAGCTGGGATTACAGGCACATGCCACCATGCCCCGCTAATTTTTTGTATTATTAGTAGAGACGGGGTTTCACCATGTTGACCAGGATGGTCTCGATCTCTTGACCTCATGATCCACCCACCTTGGCCTCCCAAAGTGCTGGGATTACAGGCGTGAGCCACCGTGCCCAGCTGCAATCTGTATTTTCAATGAAAAGCATCCAATTCTTTGCAACAGACATCATCCTTTTGCCCTTTAGTAGGCAGACCACTGTATTTGCAAGCAACCGGTGCAGGGTGAAGCTTGTGATATATTTGAGGTATGTTTCTCCAAAGTTCTATTTCACTTTAATTTCTGCCATGTAAGAATTCATCAAGGAACCTCTAAGCAGCACAACAGATTACATGATCTACTGCAAAATAGGAAAGACCATGACTAGAAAGAAGGGAATGGAGCAGAGCTTGACAAACAATGCCATAAAGAGTAAATCTTGTGTCCACTAGAAAAGAGGACACAAACAGAGGAAGGATAAGGCAGAGTGGACCAAGCCTTTAAGATGTGTAAGTGCAAGTTAAGCTTTAAGATGTTCTATAAATGTTTATTGAGTGACTGAAGGAATGAATGCATAATATCAGAGTTCCTGCACTTCACTGCATTTGACAGTAGACGCATAATGACAGGATAGTAAAAGGGGATTGAAGGTCAGAGTGAAGAGGCCCTTAAGGGATACATTTAAGCTGAAACAACCAAGAGTTCTTCGGGAGTGCTGCAGAAAAACTGAACATGTGTTGTATTGCTTTTGTAAACTCCCAAGAAGTTTTGGCCAATGCTGGCAACCATGCAATGCATTAAAGAGTGATGGCCACATTGTGCCTCTCGGAATCATCCAGGTGGCTGGATTAAAAGGGGGTGTACCACTTAGTAAACTCTTTTACCAGCTGTCTCTATGTGTGAATTTTGAAGCTGCCAAACCAAACCCGAATGGTGTGTTGGCCTCTACAGTCGCACAAGCGCAATAAGCCACTATCGCAGATGTGCTATGTTCTCACAATATTCACGGTGGCTAGAGGGCAGCTGACTTCTTCGGAGGATGCTGGGTACACCAGCTTCTGGTGACAGCAATAGAATCAGATAGGTCCTGCCCTGCGGTTTTTAAATGCTGCCTGCTTTAAAAAGCAGAGCCTCCAAATAATGCAGGGGCTAACAAGTTTGCAAAGGAAATGCACTTGCAATATGCAAACCGGAGCAGCTGGGTATCCAACTGTGTAAAGAAACACAGAGGGCTCTTCTTTTCCCTCAAACTGATATTACTCATCCAAGTTTTATAAAATCAAAAGCATATGCTTAAGTATAATTACTCAACAATTCAGACCAATTTCCCACATCACAGCCACATAAATAGGATATTTCATT